CATGGAAAACTCTGGGTTCAACAGAGAGACCCTGACTTAAAGAATAAGGTGAGAGAGGGATGAAAGAGGATTCCTGTCATCAGTATTAGGCCTACACACACATCCACATCTACACACACATCCATATACACACACATCCACACACACACATCCATCCACACACATCCACACACACACACACATCCACACATCCACACACACACATCCATACACACACACACATCCATACACACACATACACACACACACACACACACACACACACACGTGCACACTAACATCACACACACAGACACATGAAAAAGGTCCAAGGTATTGGATCTGACATTGTGGTGTTCCAGAGATAAGGCTGTAATTGGAGGTGGAGCTTTCTGTCCTGTACACCTGATTATACTTGGCAGTCACTTCCCAAAATACCACTCAGAGGCTTATATTATAAGTGCTTGGCCAGGCCGGGCGGTGGTGGCGCACGCCTTTAATCCCAGCACTCGGGAGGCAGAGCCAGGCGGATCTCTGTGAGTTCGAGGCCAGCCTGGGCTACCAAGTGAGCTCCAGGAAAGGCGCAAAGCTACGCAGAGAAACCCTGTCTCGAAAAAAAAAAAAAAAAAAAAAAAAAAAAAAGTGCTTGGCCAATGACTTAGACTTATTACTAGCTAGCTCTTAGATTTAAATTAACCCATATTTCTTATCTATGCTTTGCCACATGGTTCATGGCTTGTTACCTCATTTTTCACATGTCTTGCTTCCTCAGCACCTGGCTGGCATCTGGCCCAACTCCACCCTTCTTCATCTCTGTCCTCAGTTTGATTGTACCGCCTAACCTTATCTTGCCTCGCCATTGGCCAAAACTGCTTTATTATCAACCAATGAGAGCAACACATATTCACAGCGTACAGAAGGACATCCTGTAGCACAAGGCACCTGATCTCATTTGAGTTCTGCCTTAGGAGAGTTCCAGGTAAAATGCCAATAGCTGCCTCACAGAGAGGTATTCCGTTACACAAGTTACATTATCCTCCAGCCGTCTAAGACGTCTGCTTACCTAGAGATGGGAAACCAAGGCTCCAAAGGTCTTGAGGAACCTGTCTGAAGTCACACAGCTGTCAAGTCCACCAGGCTGGTGCTCACCTTGTCTCACTCAGCCTGAGCTGAGATCTGCTGCCTGTGGATTAATCAAGAGACCGCATCTGGCTAGGTGGTCATTCCTCCACCCACCCAAGTACCAATCTCAGCCAGTATGTCTGGAAGACCAGTTGCCATCACCAGGGCCTGCTCTCGGAAGGAAAGATCAGCTCTGGCATGGGGGAGAGCCCAGCTCAGAGAGGGAGAGGACCCCAACCTGGGGCTTTAGGGAGCTGAGCAGACATGTGAACAGAGGCTTCACTTCCACTGTGGATCTCCCCAGGCACCGTCCATCTGAACAGGGCATCTGAGGATAGCTCTCCTTCCGAATCTCCCAGCAGAAGCTTGGCAAAGGGACTGTGCCTCCACCCACTCTGTTTCCTGGCCTATGATGGCTCCTCCATCTGGCTCATTCATTCATGTGTTCATTCAACAGGTAATTACTGAGCACTACCAACCCTCTGCCCTACGGTAGACAAGATATGCATATACAAGAAAGTGCAGAATTGAAGGCGGATGAGCAGGAGGGATGAGACATTTGGTCGTAGTAGTTCAAGGACCATGGGGAAAGCAGAGACCAAGCCCTGGGTTAAGTTTGAGGACAGAGATCCTCCCTAGAGAGGCAGGAGTAGAGAGCATACATTAAGGAAATTTTCTAGTAGATGGGGCTGAACCTTGAAGGATGGGTAGGATTGAAAACATCAGCCAAAGTGAAAACTATTTCCACTTTCATGAACAGCACATGTAAAGGCCTAGAGGTAGCAATGGACCATGACATCTGGGAAGCCAGGGAGCAGTATGGAGATACACACTGGGGAGCCAAGACGGTCGGCTGGTATATACATCGACCTATGTATGTGGTATGTCACACTCATCAGTCCCTCTGGAGGCATCAGGAGAGATGGATTTCAGCTCCAGAGTTCTCAGGAGAGTTTTGGTACCCATCCTCAAGTTTCAGGCCTCACTAAGGCCACACTTCCCACCCACCATTGCTGTGTCTGAGAACCTCTAAAGTGCTCTGATAGTATATCTCAGGCCAAGTCAGCCAACAGCCCAAATCTCAGGCTAGAAAGTTCAGGGGACATCCAATTACTTAAAAAGAGAAAAATCTGAGGCTGGAGAAATGTCTCAGAGGTTAAGAGCACTGGCTGCTCTTCCAGAGATCCTGAGTTCAATTCCCAGCAACCACGTGGCAGTTTACAACCATCTATAATCCCAATAGTTGGGGGCAGAGACATGAGGATCTGTGAGTTCAAGGCCAGCCTGGTCTATATAGTGAGAGCTAGATCAGCCAGGACTACATAGAGAGGTCGTGTCTCAAAAAAACAAAACAAAACACAAAACTTATGACCTCTCTCTCTCTCTCTCTCTCTCTCTCTCTCTCTCTCTCTCTCTCTC